GGACTGGAGGGGGTGACCACTTCTTGGTAGGCTGTGAGTGAAACAGGCTGGAGATGTCCTGGAACAGCTCTCAGCAGGCTGGAGACCTACACAGCCACTGCCACTCCAGCCCATAGCACCTGAGGTCTGGCTCGCTGTGGAGCCACAGTACCTCTGATTTTGGAATACAGCTTCCTATTGCTGCTGTCTGGAGATGGCAGAGGTGTGGGTGCCCGATGCCACCCACATCTTCCCTTCCCACAAAGGGGGAGTGACTGAGCACACTTTCAGCACTGCTGCCCCTACACCACCACAGCCCAGCCCCACAGCATCACCAGGGGGTCTAAAAATCACAACAGGTTTCATTCTGACATCTTTCTCTCTGCCTCCTGGCTCCTGAGCCTTTAGTTTACCCTCAGACCAGATTTTCCGGGCTTCTTCTTTTCCCCTGCAAATGTTGGGGTAGAAACAGAAAGCATGACAGGACACCTCCCCTCCAGGAGCAGAGAGCGCAGGAAGGACCTGACTGCCTGGCTGATGGGAAGGACCAGCCCTGACGGACCTCTCTGTCCCTCCCCAATGGCAAACCCCACTCCCCCCCACCTCTGCCGGCTGTGCAGCTCCACCATCACCCAAAACACCCTCCCTGGCCACCTGCATCCATGCCTTGCCGTGGGATCCCTGTGGGATCCCTGCATCCCTCGGTGGCTCTGCCAGAGCAGCTCCTGCTGGCCAGCAAGGTGATGAGCAAAGACCCCTCCGGATTTGGCTCAGAGCAGCGGACCCCCTGCTCCGGTGGCTGTCCTGCAAAGGGGTGTGCCATGGGGATGGCTGCCCGTGGGCAGGGTGCTGCAGCCCCTCGCCCAGGCTCCGCAGCAGGCAGCCGTGCTGGATGTGTTTCCAAGGCAACAGGCAGGCTGCCCGCACAGGGATGCGCTCAGAAGGCGGGCTGGGGTGAGCATGGTGGGGACACCCCAGAGCCGGGCATGGTAGCAGCTGCTTAAGGCTAGAGTCCCCACATCCTAGGCTCCGGACGTGTCCCAGCACACCCAGGCCACCGAATGCTCTGGCTGCTTTTGGAGCTCCAGTACCTCTCCGAAGGTCTGCAGTGTGGCATTGCTCCTTCCCCCACTCCCTCCCTCCAGAGAAGGTCAGACTGTGTCCATGCACCCACCGCAGGAAGAGCCATGGCCCTGAGAGACTGAGGGTAGCATGTCGAGGGTTCAGGATGATGAAACTCCCACGCCTCCCAAGGCACACACCTCGGGGTGGGACACACACAGTCCCTATTACAGAGCGGGACGGGGTGGCTGTAGCCCCGGGACTCACCTCCAGGACCCTGCCGCTGATGTACCGGTCGCAGGTCTCGCACTTGATACCGAACTGGGCATGGTAGTCGGACTCGCAGTATGGGATGCCATCCCTTTGGGAGAGAGAGGAGAAGGGGGTGAGCAGCAGCTGAGCCAGGCTGGGCACCCCC